CACAGAGAGGAACCTGCTGAAAGTCACAGCCAGGACGCCATCTGCTGAATGCCAGCGCACAGGATGCCTGGGTGGCCACGGCCAGTGCAGCCGGAGAGCTTGCTTCCTGCTCTCCTCCTGCCAGTGAATGCCATTTCCCTGGGCTCTTTTTAGATCAAAGGAAGAGCTGGGCTGGCGAGAGGAGTGAGGACCACAGCACGCAGTTAGGATGCTGCTGGGATGGCTTAAAAATAGGCCTCTGTCCTTGAACACCACACAGAAGCAACCTGGGGTTTTCGAAGATTCTGCCTACCCAAGGTCACGAGCCCTTCGTTGGAGAAAACTTTCATAATATGTCTCCTCTGCACCCCTGAAAGGCATCTGTGACCCAGAAACAAACATTTCCAAGTCAAAAGACTAAATAAGGTGCCAAAGGAAGCAACCAAATGTCTAAAGAGCACCTAATAGGTGCCACACACTGTGACTGGGAAACTTGCCTGTGTCATCCGCACAACACTCTGCAAACAGGGGTGGTGGTTACTAGGTGTCCTAAGAAGTTGAGCACACACCTCAGAATCATGGTGCCAATAAATGATAAAACTTAAAGTTAAGCCCAGGTCTGCCTGACTCCAAGCTCATGCTCTTTTGAACCACCTTGCAAGTTGAGATCTAAAAATCTTCAAGAGATGGAAGTGAGGGGCTTAGTTACTGGCTGGGCTTTGGTGAGATTTGTCTAACATCTACTGTGTGCCTGGGCTTCCGTGCAACCTCATTGCCCCTGCCAAAGCTGAGATAGGTGTCCATTTACAGATGAGGAAACTGCAGCTTTGGGAAATGAGTTGTTCAAGGGCCTTTATACAAATCAGTAGGAAACACAGATCTTAGGCTGACCTGTCTTCCAGAAAGGTTTGCCCAGGACTGGCCAAGGTAACACTGATTTAGCAATGGCAGATTCCCTGCCATCCCAGGCTGCTCCTCACTCACCCTAGGATGTCTCCCCTTGGGTTTAGAGTCATTGTTCCTGTGACTAAATGCTGGAGGGAGCCCCCAGTGCGGGTGGGGCTGGGACAACCCTGATTACCATGAGGACTGTCTCTTTTCTCCTCTGAACCAGAAGAGCAGCTGCAGAGGTCTCCGCTGTGTCCCTGGCTCATAGAAACCCCCTCTCCACCATTCTAACAGCCTTGGACCCAGATCCTGGCTGGAACTGGAAGGGGACTCTCTAGCCACACACAGCACTCTCCCTGAGCTGGTGAGGCTTGGCTTGCGGGGATGGGGTGGGAGTGGGGCCATGTGGTTTGTCCCTGGCATGGTTTGGGGCCTCTTCCTGGCAGAACACTATCTCCCCAGAGACACTGTCCATTTGAATCTGGTCCTGACACCAGCTGCTGAGGACCTCTGCCCCCATAGACAGAGCTCTGTGGGGAGGGGGCAGCCAACATGGTCAGGATCAGGGGAGCCATAGGAACATCTGGACTCCTGATGGACTATTCTGCAGCCATGGAAGGGCCATAGGGAAGGCGGAGGGGCAGTGCTGTGTACGTTGAGTTTGAGAGGAAAAGGGCAGCATGCAAAACGGGTTGTGTGCTCTGACTGAAAACAGAAAAAGTACTTACTGCCACTGAGTTTTCTGTAGAGCTTAGGGACAGAAGTCAGGACTGGGGAAAGAGCACTGACTGATTTGGGGTCAGGTGAAGCTGGCTTTCCATTTCAGTGCTGCTATTGCAACTTTGTGAAGTATGACTGTTGCCTAGAGCCTTGTTTCTTCCTGGTGAGAGCTCATTTGGAGAACAAGCCACAGTCCTATTAGAAAATACTCAGCACAGGTCCTGGCATATTATAAGGTTCAGATATGGTTTCGGAGCTGAAGCAACAAATTGCAATTAAAAATGCAATTCGAGTTGGGTGTGATCCCTGGAAGGTGTGGGTGGTCACCTTTCCCCCTCTTTCCCAAACTTTTTATAATGGGGTTGTCATTTATTGCAGGCAGCAACGTCAGTGATGCAGTTCGGGTTTCCTGCTGACATCCCCAAATCAGGCCACTCTGCAGGTCCCCTGCAGGCCACCTCTATATATTCCTGTTCTCTGTAGGAACAAGCCACTTTCCTTGAACCCAGCTAAAAGCAGATGTGGGTATGCAACTTGGAGATTGCTTATTGTTGTCTTTTAAGTATCTCCAATTTGTGTAAATAGCACATCATCTTAGAGCGACTTCACTCTGGTTTTCTTTATCACATGTCAGGGTTCTGGCCTCGGAAAGGGGGAAAATAAGAGTGTTTATCCCTCATTCCCTGGAGGAAGTTGGATCATATAATCAAGATTAAACAAATATGTAAACTTTGCTATGACTTGGCTGCATTTTATCCTAACATATAGTTGGGTTTGCAGGAAATTTCCCCTTATAGTAACAAAGCAGTGTATCTGAACCGCTCAGCCTTCACTGAAATTGTCAGAGAGCTCCAGAGGGACATCTGCTTAGAATTCCCAAGCTGTTTGGTAAAGTAACTCGGGCGGAGAGATAGGATGGGGGGCAGTTTTGGGGAGGGGAGATAAAAATAATCAAATCAGCCTTTTGATGTGTGGTCATATGTAATGTTTCCTGGAGACTTTGCCAGCAAAAGGGGACCTTGGTCTGTGGTCACTGGAGGAAGCTATAGTGCAGAGGCTGGGTGGCTTGTACAAGGCCATGGCGTGTGTGGAGGACATGGGCCCCCGATGTACCCAAGCAGCCTCTGTTGATGGTTACACAGAGTGGCCTCCTTGAGTTTTGTCCTTCTGAAACAGGGGCCCTTCCTCTTATCCTGTGATTCTGGAGATGGTCCACAGCTAGTTCTGAGCCTGCCCCTGTCTCCATCACAGGCAGCCCTGAGCTGGCGGGGTCCTGATCTGTGAGGAGCCCTGTGCTGCGCAGTTAAGCATCTTGGCTTGGCATTCGGGGCCTTTCCATCTGATCCCAGAACCGTCTCACCACTCACCCCGGCAGAACAGTGACCACCCAACCCCACGCACCCTCTGCCGCACCCTTGCTGCTCCTTTGCCTGCCTCACCAACTCCTGCTTTCCCTGCCCAGCCTGCAGTGCACTGCTGTGCTCCCTGGAGACCTAGCTCTGTGACCATCACCTCTGTTCCAGCCCCTCACCGAGTCCAGCCCCTGGGTGCTGAGCCCTGGGGCAGCCTTTCTCAAGCCCTACTGCCCCCGTGTCTTCAGCTGTGACTCTCACGACACTGAAATCCACAGGGTCAGGGTGTGTCCATGTGCCCAAAGACAAGCGAGGGAAGGAGCAGCGGAGTAAACATTTTGCTTGCCGCCCTCTTGTGTCAGCCCAGGGCGTGGCTGGCGCAGAGCAGGCCTGCCTAGGGACAACAGGAGTCAGAGGCTTGCCTACCTCTTCTGTATCAGGGATCTGCAGTCCAGCTCTTCCATCCATTTTCTGGTCAAAAAGATGCAACTGGGAGTCACATGAATCTGGTTTCAGTCCCAGCCCTACGCTTAGCTATAGCAGCTGTGTGACTTTGGGCAAATAACTCAAACCCTGAAATCCCATTTCTTTGGCCACACATGGTGGGGATGGAGAACAGCAGTTCTTACCTTGTAGGGTTATTCTAAGGATTCGGTGAGGAAATGCATGGCAATTAGCCATCCGGACCAAGTGTCCCTTTAAATTGACTGAATGCGTGGTGACTCTATCCATCAGGGTATTTTTGATTGAAGTATCAGGAACCCAGCTCAACCTGGCTTTTAAGCAAAAGAAGTCCCCCAAACTACAATCATCTGCTGCCCAGGCCTGGGCTACATTTTGCTTTCTAGATCTGTGAGGTTGCTGGGGGAAGGTCAGATCCCCCAAGGAAAACCAGGAGCACAGTAATAGGAAAAGGAGGAGGAGATGCTGGGCAGGTGGAAGCAGCAGATGCCCACATGACTAACAGTTGTGGGACATGTGGCGAAATGGGGTGGCCCAAGTCTACAGCTCCCTTCTGTGTGGGCTCAGTATTCACCACCAATTCCACCCAAGTGCCCAAAGTACAGTGTGGGCTGCGGCAGGCGTGGGAGAGGTTCCCTGCCGTGGCCTCCCATTCTGCAGGGCAGCTCCTCTCACCGCATGCCGGCTGCCTGCGTGTTAGAAGAACTTGCCATGAAAATGACCCACGCCAGCAGCAGTCACCCTGCTGCTGCCTCCAGGGGCCTCCCTCCAGGAAAGGGAGGTGACTGCTCCCACTCAATACCAAGCCACCTGGGGCCCTGACCAATAATAGAACCTCTGAAAGGAGACCACCCCAGAACCCTAAGGAGCAGAATTTACTGAGAAACAAACCCCGAAGGGTGTGCGTTCCAGAAATGCCAGCTGGCTCCCAAAGAATGTCTTCATGTTCTATAGATAAGGGGAAGGGGAGCTTTGGCTTGGATCCATTTTGGAACCTCAGTATCCAGATCAGTATGTTATTATGGCCTATGACACTGAATTCTGTGCCAGGAAATGGTTAGGGACTTCACGTGCGTTATCCTTTAGTGGCTAAATGAGTTAACTTTTACAGGCAAGGAGGTTAGCTAGAGAACTGCAGGCGTGGTCCTTTGTCACACTGGCAGGAAGCGCCAGAAAGCTGGGATTTGTGGAGAGCCCCAGAAAACGCTCGCTGTCTGTGGCCTCTAGTGTCTTTCTCCTGAACAAAACCCATAGAGAGAAAAGCAGCCGAGCCCCCTGGAATCCAGGGATCCAGGGCTCTTACTACCCTTGGAGGAACTCTGAGACCCAGAGAGATGACCCTGAGAGGAAGCTTTCAGAGTTGGAGGGGCTCAGTGGGAATAGAGAAGTCATTAACCCCAGGCTGGCTGTTGTAACAACCTGCCTGAGAATGGACCAGTTCTCATGCTCTGGAAAGAGGTTGGCTTTGGTATCTATTTGGTCTGGCCTGAAATTTTCTAAAGCTTACCAATAACGTTTCTATTAAGATGCAATTTCATGTGAAAATGATTATAAAAAGACGACTAGAGCCCTAACCTGCCTGCCTGTCTCCTCCTCCAGACTCGAGTCCCCCGGCACGCCTGCTGGCCACCCGGCCTTGCTGTGGCCCTGGCCCGGAGCGGCGCCCAGTCCTGGGTGAGGCACCGCGCTTCCACGCACAGGCCAAGGGCAAGAACGTGCGACTGGACGGCCACTCACGCCGGGCCACTCGACGCAACAGCTTCTGCAACGGTGTCACCTTCACACAGCGCCCCATCCGCCTGTACGAGCAGGTGCGGCTGCGCCTGGTGGCCGTGCGCCCGGGCTGGAGCGGCGCGCTGCGCTTTGGCTTCACAGCGCATGACCCGTCGCTCATGAGCGCGCAGGACATCCCCAAGTATGCCTGTCCCGACCTGGTCACGCGGCCCGGCTACTGGGCCAAGGCACTGCCTGAGAACCTGGCCCTGCGCGACACGGTGCTGGCCTACTGGGCTGACCGCCACGGCCGCGTCTTCTACAGCGTCAATGACGGCGATCCCGTGCTCTTCCACTGCGGAGTGGCCGTGGGCGGCCCGCTCTGGGCACTCATCGACGTCTACGGCATCACCGACGAGGTGCAGCTCCTCGGTAGGTGGCGGGCGCTGGACGGCTCTGGGGCTGGCAGCATAGAGAGGGGTTCTTCACTAGTGCTTTCTGGGCCGCAGGGGCACTTAGATGGATCAGACCTTGGATGGTCCGCTCTGGAAGCAGACAGATGTGAGCCCGGCCCTTGCAGAGGAGGCAGCCACCACGCTGCTGTTATGCATGCATGCACGCGTGTGAGCACACACACACACACACACACACACACACACACACACACACAGTCTATCCTTACAACTTAAAAAAATTTTTTTTGAGACAGTCTCACTATGTAGTACAGGATGGCTTTGAACTCACTTTGTAGCCCAGGCTGGCCTCAAGTTTACAGCAATCCTCCCACCTCAGCCTCCTGCAAAAATTTTTTTCTGAAACAGAGGTAAAATTCACATAAGGGGAAAAGTATTTTAAAGTGTACAACTGAGCAGCCTTCTGGTGCCAACCATTACCTCTAATTCCAAAACATCCAACTGTCCCAAGGGACTCCCTTTGCTCCCTGGCAGCCACCGACCTGTGCTGCTTGAGCCCTTAGCTCTTGAACCTACAGATTGCACCTGGACCAACCAGCCTTGACTTCTGGACAAGTAAGGGGAGAGCAGGTTTCTCAGGGTCTGGACACAGCCCGGTGTGACATTCACCTGCAAGGAAACGCACAGATCTCAGGGGTAGCTTTGACATTTATATGCCTGTCCCTAAGCTGGAAGATTCCCACAGAGCCAGCCCCCCTCTCCCTAGGGGCAGCCCTCTGCTGATTTTGTGACAGAACTTCCCCTGCATGGAATCACACAGGACTCACGCACTCACGTGTGGGTTATTCAGCACCGCATTTTGGGGTTCACTCATGTGGTTGTGTATGGACCAGCGTTTGTTCCTGTGTGTTGCTGAGTGGTGTTTGTCGATGTGGATTTCCACAGCTTGTGTGTCTGAATGTTCGGGCTGTTTCTGGTGTTCAGCCCTGTATGTTGAGGGACACCCTGGCTTTACCCCTTGCCCTCCACCCTCAGCACTGGGCACAGAGGGAAGATTCGTACATCCAAGTTCTTTTTCCAAAGAAGTAAGAAGGTAATAGGACAGTGGTTAGAAGTAGGCCAGGCTTGGGAATCACAGAGCCCTTTCTTTAAACTTGGTTCTCCACATTTGAGCTGTGTGGCTCAGCCAGCTGGCTAGACCTCTCTGTGCCTCAGTTTTTTCATCTGTAAAATAGGCTCATGACAGCACCTACCTTGTGACTTTTTGACAGGGCTGCAGCAATGATGGATGAAAGAGGTGCGGCACAGGGCTTGATAAATAGAAAGCACTTGAGATATAACAACTAAGAATAAGATTCTCTGCCTTTTGGCAAGTGGGCAGGACACATCTGGATTCCAGGTTACCCACCCTCCATGCTGGGCCCCTACTCAGGTATTGTGACCATGTCCCACCAATTCTTTTCCGTGAAAGGTTTTGGTATTTCACCTCCAGAAAAGCCAAGTCTCTAAAACCTCCTAGGTCTCAGAGCTCTTTATTCCTGTAGCACAAGGAACCCGCTGCACTCAGCCATCTGCCTATCCAGTTGACAGTCTCTCGACAATCAGCACAAGTGGGATAGATTGCTTTAAAAATACAGATTGGAAGCAGCCTTTGATGGTATAAGGAGAAGAATAAATCTGGGGGCACCTGGACTCTTTCCACACCCACTGTGTTTCTTCTGCTGGACTGGAGATTCAACCCAGAGCCTTTACCTTGAGCTGTATTTTCAGCCCTTTTTAATTTTTATTTTGAAACAAGGTCCTGCTAGGTGGCGAGGTTGCCCAGGCGAGGCTGGAACTTGTGTATTTTTCTGTTCAGTCTCCTGGAATGCTGGTTCTCCCCTTTCATTTGCATATTCAGCAAAACTTCATGTGAGCCTGACACTCTGTGCCTTTTGGAGGGAGAGGTGGAGTCCACTGGAGTGTCAGTGTAACACGCGGACCTGAACCTCAGCTTCCTTATTTGCAAGTTGTCCCTGAGCTGTGCTGGTGATGGGCTGTGGCTGCCACGAATGTCACAGGACAGTAATCACACAAGCATAGAATAATACAAAATGAGATCAGGAGCAGCCGCATGGCTGGGTGATGGGACCACAGATGAATCTCACCCTTCTTATGTCTATAAGAGTTAGCTTTTAAAAAGCATATAATATGTATTATGATGAAAGTGCTATACATAGAAAAAGAGAGAGAGAACTTGTATTGCGTTTACAGTCAGAAAAAGCAATAAAGTTATTTTCCTTTCCAAAGGTTAATGCAATAATGGTGAGGAAGTTTCTGGCTCAGTAAATGTTCATTTCCTTCCCAAGGGAAAAGCAAGTTGATATTGGTCGCATCTGGGTAAAGGAAGGATCAATGATTTTTTTCTTCCCAAGTTAATGATAATTTATAGCGGAGGGGTGGGTATAATAAACATAAGAGAGCTATACAGCTGTGACTTTGTATAGTTTAAGAACAGGCAACACAGCAAGAGGCAATGTGAGAATCTCAGAACTCCTCCCAGAAACCTCTCAGTTCCTAGGGGAGCTTAGCCTCCTGAGGCTGGGGTTCCCAGAACCAGTGGATGCATACAGGCCAGCTGTGTCCATGTCCCCCAGAGCCCTAGGAACTCCTGCCCATCGCCAGGAGCAAAGAGCACTGTGGTTCCCATACAGGTTTGAGGCTGAGATGTTCCAGAATAGAAAACCCTTCAGGGCTTTTCTGTGCCTTATTTCAGACCCCACTGGGCAAAGCCTGAAAACCAAAAACCAAAGATATCATCTGGGCAGAGTTGTCAAATTTAACAGAAAAAAAAAAAAAAAAACCCTGAACTGCCAGTTAAATTTGAATTTAAAATAAACAACAAAAAAATTTTAGCACAAGTTTCCCTGTGCTAAAGTATTTGGGACATACTTATGTGGAGGGAAATGTGTTTATCTGAAATTCATATGTGCCCTGGTATCCTGTATTTTATCCGGCAGCACCAGTCTGGGGAACATCCTCCCATCTTGTGTTGGGGTGCAGTTTAATTGCCCCAGAACTTGAGCCAAAGGTAAGCGTCAGAAATCTGAAAGGTCCATAGGCCTCAGAGGGTTTGGGCCTGGTCATCCAGCATGCTCTGTCCAGTGTCCTCCTGTCCTGTTCGGGAAGTAGTCTGAGGTTCTGAGAAGGAAAGCGACCATCCAGCTTCGAGAAACCCATCTTGTAAGTGGCAGAGCCACTAGAAGCACTTACGTCTGTCTTTAGTTCAGTGCTTCTCAGTCCCAGCTATGCATTGAGACCCCTCAGGAGCTCTGAAAAGGCCTGCTGCACCCGGCCAGTGAAATCTGAATGGGGAGGTGGGGAGGGGCTTGTTGCAGATGTCTGGATTGCCTAATCCTCAAGTGACCCCAGAGGACAGCCAGGATTGAGAGCCCACGGACTTGTTTGCCTGGATAAACACCTCCTTTCCTGCTTGGAAAGCTTGGATGCCATGCGGGGTACCTCGGACCCTCTATTCAGGGTGTGGCACCATCATTTGCCTGTGCAAGCCATGAGCCCATCTCCTAAAGATGCCTTTGTGGTCATTGTCTTGTGCCATCTGTGCCAGGTATAGCCCATTACAGTGCATCTGAGGGATGAGTTGCAGACAAGAAAACTGTCACATTTTCTAGGTCACGCGGGCTTTCTAGCACTCTCCCTTCTGCAAAAGGTGCTTAGAACACATGTGTGTTCCATGAAGGAACACACCTTCATGCATAAGCAAAGGCTGGCCCTCTTGCTTCATTCGCTCTTGCCAGGCAGCACAGTGGTGGCCAGCATCATAGTGCCCCTGTCCTTCCTCTGCCCAGTGGTGGGAGGCTGCTGAGACTGAACAGGCAGTGGCCACCCATGGCCATGATATTGCAGACTAAACTGTCAGGAATCTCTGTTTGCAAGTGGCAGGATCGTGGTTCCATCTCATTCAAGCAAGAAAAGTGAATCCATCTCTTGTGGCTCAAATTCCAGGAATCAGCTGCTAAAGAACAGCACCTGTCATATTTGTCCATCTTCAGCTCCTGCCCCTCTGCCGCCTTTGTTGGCTTCCTCCTGAGCAGGCTCCCTTTGGGGCAGAGGGAAGGCTACCAGCTGTTCCTGGCCCACGTCCTACCAGCTTAACACGTTGGGTGGGAAAGCTGCTTTCCAAAAGGGCCTGAGTAGTCTCAAGCCTCACCCATCCGACCTGGCTCACACGCCCATCTCGGAACCCTGTCTGTGGCCAGCTTAAGGAACCCCTAGTCTTAAGGTAATTAAAAGTGGAGTTGGGCAGTTCTCCCCAAAGAAAAGCTGGTGCTGGTGACAGAAGGGAGTGGATACCAAGCAGCCAGAATAACAGTCATCGACAGGCCTGGGAAGTCAATCACTGACTGGCTTTTCTAGCAGGCATTGAGACCCTTTGTTACCATGTTGCCCTCAGTATCGGGACCTCCTCACCCTGGATACCAAAATCCACAGGTGCTCAAGTCCTTCCTGTGAAATGACGTGGTACTTCCATGGAAGCTACACACATCCTCCTGTATACTGAAATCATCTCTAGGTGGCTTATACTATCTAACACAATGTAGATGCCATATAAATAGTTGATACCATATAGCTTAGGCAGTAATGCCAAGGAAAAGATTCAGTACCTGTTCCATACAGATGCAGCTGTTTTAGAACGTCTTGCATCAGCACTGATGGGAACCCTGCAGGGAGGGCTGGCCACCTATGATCCACCCCGGGGCACTTACATGGGTAATGTTTTCTATTCCTCACAAGAACCGGATAAGGCTAGAAACAGGTGCATCCTTATTTGCGGGCTCACTGTAGATTCATGATGTGGGCAGGGTCCAGTTGCTTGGTGTAAAGTTGATGTCAGCTTGTTAGCATTAGGAACAAAGTGTTTAATGCAGACTTCTCTGGGTAGATTTAGGTCCAGTGCTTAGGGGTCCAGGTGCTCCACTCCAGGAAGCAGGTGGGAAAGTCAAGTCTAGAGAGGGTTAT